TCAGAAAATACAATATACCGTGCCATCATACATGCAAAATACATCCAGTTATACAAAGCTTCAGTATTGAAAGCCACTGTAATAAAATAGTGCATGCATTTTTCAAGCAACATGATTTTTTAGCAGCAGCTAAAGAAGCCTTTTAATAGTTTTTAATATCTCAACTTCAAAATCTCTTTTGCCTTTCTCTCTATTGTGTTGTCAAAGTTTTGCACATTTTAGCATTTTTGCAGAAATCAATCATCATAAAATCCATTAACATCAGTATAACTTTGGCTCTCACAGATCACTGAATAAAAGGAATTCAGTCTCTAAACCAGAATAAAAAGGAAATGAGGCAACACAGGGTAAAGGAACATAGGGCAGACCCCTGACACATGTGGGAGTGTCATTATATTCCCCACAGCATTTTACTGCAAAGCCTATTATTTAATGTTATAATTAAAGCCCGGAAAAGTGACCCGGGGTTAAGATCAGCCCTCTACATTTTTTCATTAACATAAAAATAATAAAGATCTCCAATTAGTCTCTCCACCTCAAAGCTGCAAACGAGATCACACTAAAGTGGGTCATGAACTCGTGTAATCGGTGTAAATTTCATAATTTATAACTAGAGCAACATGCATTCTTAGCATGTCTTGTACTGGCTGCTCTCTGAAAACACAGTTTACAACAAATATACTTCTAGGAGTGTTGCAAGGTTGCTACTGTAGGTTTTATTTTCTTGTAAGAGACCAAAGAGAGATGAGATGTAGTCATGCAGTTGGAACTCTTGTTAAGTTGGTGAATACTAGTTTGCTGATTGCACAATTTGGGTTAATGCTGTACTATGCTTACACTGAATATTAGGGTGACATGTTTTTCCTGTTGTCCTCCTTGAAAATGTTATGGTGATCAAGTGCATGGTATGACTAATTTATTAGAAATGGGAGAAGTAGGAGCAACACACAACTTTACACAGGCAGCTTAACGGGAGCACAAAGGCCTTCTTTTCTTTATCACTGAATCTGCTGAACTGAACCTTCACTGAACCTCCACTATTGTAGGGAAAAAGATAGCATAAAAGCACCCACACAGCATCAGAACCAAAGGTGTCACTGAGTATGTTGCATGCACACTGTATTCTAATTAAGATCTTTATTCCAGTTCTAAAAATAGTCTCATTAGGCCATATACTGTGCAGGAGTTTTCCAAATAAGTATCCCATTACACATTTACACACAATCCTTTTCAACAAATGCATTCAAATCTAGAGCCTCATCACATATTTAACTAAAGTTCTATGAATCCTGGATGACCACAAGAGATTGTATGTACCAGATTTCTACTGTCTCTAGCAGTCAAGAAGAATGAAACACAAGTCTCCACGCAGCCATAAGTTGATTTCACTTTCTAGGTGGGGTGCTGCCCATATTTGAGAGAAAGTGACATTGCTTTTGCACTTCGGGTGGTGGAGTTTAAGGCAGTGTCAAAGAATTTTATTTGGTCTAGCAGACAGAATTAATTGATTTTGTCTGGAAAAAGGAGAAGAACTAGAATGAAGACTAAAGACTGGGATGAGAATCAGTTGAGAGAATAGTAAAGTTACTAATTTATACTTTTAAAAAGGTTTATATAGTGTTGAAGGATAAGTCTGATGACATACTACAGTATTTCTTTAACAACAAATCACATGAAGAGACCCCAAACTATACAGAACCAGTGCCACTAACAAGTGTTATCTATATAACCATACTGTATATAGTTTATTCCTCTGTGCCACAGAGCTTTATTTTTGTCCAAAATCTTCAATATGCTGTAATTTAATTAAGTCAATTCCATGTATATGGTCCAGATTACGTAAATACTCAAAAGGGCAACCAATCCACAACCAAAAATATTCTCAAACAAATACAGTATTTACTTCTGCTTACAGTCTGAAATGACTTAATATTTTTCAAATCAAAGTATATATTTCTTACCTGTTTTTAATTATTCACATTTTCAATAGGAAAGAAGGGCTGAGAGTCACAGATATGCTGGGTCAAAAAGGTACTGTGAGACATACTAATTGGTAATTTGGTCTTTGCATGAGATTTGTTAACAACAACAAAATTATAGAATATCACAAAGCCACGTTTTCCTACTCTTTGAAGACAACCATACATGACCTAACATGTAAATTGACCTTGTTTTTCAAACCTTGCTTTTTTATTAAAACTGGTAAAAAAAATTAAAAAAACAGTTAAAAGTGTTACAGTATCAAAGTATTCAATTTCCTGCTTCAACAATTCAGTGACAAAAGTATGACTATATTTAGAGTCCTGAATGATGTTCACAGGCCTTAAAGTTGGCCATTGATGTACTGTGGTGGCTTTGTTTGTACTAAAAAATGTCTGCATGTTGGAGCATCTGAAGTATTGATTTTGATACATCAAAAACACCCTGCGGTTTCGCTTCAGTGAAACCACCATGGAGGTCTGTCAGGGATAGAAACTGTCTGTTTCTTCAACACAACAACAGTGTCATTGTCAAGTCTGTAACGCCAATGCCACCATCGCTGTCTGCATTTGTTGACAGCATCTGATGTTTCCATGACAATTTTGGCACACCATGTTTATCTGTGCTTAATGCTTGTTTATTTCCAAGTCTCTGAGGGGTGGCTTATTTAGCAAATCACCTCAGCCATGTGTACTTGTCTGTGTCTGAAAAACAAAAATAAAAAGTCCCCAGTGTGAAATGTATTTGCATCCTTGACACCTCGATATGACATGGGTTTTCCCAAAGCACTGTGTGGCTCACATCTTATCATTGGTGTCAAGCCTGGGACTTCTATTCAGAGACTACCCTCCAGAGGCAAAAAGGCTCTGTGGGCAAAAAGAAAGACCATAACAATAAACACAACAGAACGGCTTGGTTCTCTAACATACATACATAATAAATAATGGTAGGAAAACCACAAACACCCTCTTGGCTAGAGGGTGAAAATAGATGAAGTGATTAGTGTTGTCTGTGTAGTAAACAGTATGTTTTATATGGCTTTAGGTCAATCCTAAGGGTCTCCTCTACATAGACAACCACCCTGTAATTGTTCATATTCCCACATGTCAACAATGATGTGACAATGTGACCCCTGCCACACTCAATAGCATTCCTGCACCACCCTCACCCACTGATAGAGAAATCCTAGGGGAAACACTTCCCGGTAGAGGAATACCACATGTGGTTTTTCCTTCTGTTACCTCCTGTGGCAATTTTTGTTTCATTAATGCATTAAACAGAGAAGCAAAGTTGAATGTGTATTCTCTTTTTGTAGAAACAAGTATAAAAGCCAGCATAGAGCAATAGAGATCACTAATCCCTCAAATTCAGATGAATAACATCTTTCCTGATTGCCTCCTTGTATCCCAGATCTCTTCTCACCTCACATAGTTACCACTCAGGTCATTATTTAAACACATGATTAGTCAAGGATGCTCTCCATGCCTATATGCTCTCTTTTACTGTGTAATTTATTTTTTATTTTTTTCTTGCTTATTTTATGTGATCTCTCTTCTAATCCCTAAAACTACAATCCATCCTTTAACTTTCTGCTGTTTGCATTTTCCAGTTCCTCTCGAGGCTTGTGAGAGTAGAGATCCTTAATCCCTCCCTCCATTACTGATTTAGGCCAGCAGTTGATTGAAAACTGGGGGAAAAAAAGTGCTATAGCAGTCTCTTATGCTAGCTGGAGGCTTTTCACAGTACTCAGAAAACACCATACAGGAAGGCTTCCAGGAAGCTTGCAGACCATATGAATTTCAGGCATTAATGCCTGCATCCTTCGGGTCAGGACAACTGTCAGATACTCTCATTCATGAAATCTGACAAAAGGAGGAAAGCTACGGCTGGAGGATTCACAATCCAACTCATTTTAGTGTGGCATGCACACAATCTGTCTCGTCCAATAAAAACACAACACCTTTGTCATTTTCTACCACAATAGAGTTGCAAAGTAAAAGAAAGACCAGGAAGGTGAGGCTAAATTGTTACACACACACAAACACACACACACACACAGACACAAACACATAGAGCCTAATCTCCCTCACATCTCATTAACCGTTCTCTCTGAAGATGTATACAGGCTGGCAAGAGACTTATTTCCAATTTGGCAGAGCCAAGAGCATCTTAATGGGCTTTGCAAAAAAAAAAAAAAAAAAAAAAGCCCCGCAGAATTTATATATGGATATTTGCTAGGCTAGAGCTTTTAGAGTGGTATTCCCACACTTTCACTAAAGGTCTTGTGTCATTCCATTACTTCAGTAATTAGACATCTGGCAGCAAACACATCTAATATTACCCCCAAATTTATTTTGCATTCCTGCCCTACATGTACAGTGAATCAAAAATATATCAGTGCAACAAACAGAGTGTTGATAACATACGTTGGTGACAATACGTAGAAGAATTAAACGTATGTGTCACCACATTTTCGGAACAAAATTTTGTCATTTAAAATTCCTGACAGAAATGATGAGACAGACAGTATGTGTATGTGAAAGTGTCTGAGTCTATTGCTAAATAGCTTCAAACCTGCTGACTCTTGCAATGGAATCTTAAGGTAACACGCAATAATAAACTGTATACATCTTTAATTATGAATAAATTGTTTCATCTCCTTGAATCATTTGCAATTACAACCAATTAAATCTGAGCCCCTAAAACATGTATCTAATATGGAACAATGTAGGCTTAAACCTCATTTATAAACATGAATATGAAACAAGATTGTATTGTTTTTAAATTCTGATGAAGAACATTTTAGACAGCCTCATGTGAATCATTCATTGAGATGTTAATAAGTGTTGTAAGATGCTTTATTTCAAGAGCTGCAGTGACGTCTGTGTCAAGAAAGCTCAAGCACTGACAATATTAACTGTGCTGTATACAGAAGGTGCATAAGGCTCCTAACATTCATTTAAGTACAAACAGCAAAGATCTCTAATATCTGGGTTGTGTTTAAGGGAATAGGGGAGCTCACAACTTGCAAACAGCCAAGTACAGATCACAGTGATAAACAGAGAGAGTTGCAGCATCAGGAATTCACATGAGGAAAAATTATGATGGATTGTGTAACAGCTAATAACTACCCTGTTAAGATAAATCAAATAATATTATTTTAGTAGCTACAGATGAACTCCACAGATAATTGTTATTCTTAAGAAAGGAAATATACGACTCGGGCACTGCATTCATAGGAACTGCAGCACATCAAGTGATTTTGTTTCACAGACTCCACCCATGAGAATTCCAACTGCTCTGTGTAAGTAGATGTTGATATTAACAGCAAAGCTTCGAAGTAAGAGCTCCCTGGCAGGGTCTGACTGAAGCCATTGTGTATAAGAACAAAGGGCTGACAATCAAGCAGTATTGTTTGTGTGACACTATAACTAACGTCTGACACGTGCACACAGGGGTGATCCTCACAGACGGGCTGTATTGTTGGCTGAGTGCTGTGTGACACACCAGGCAGGCAATGGTACACTGATGACACTGACACGAGAGCGGAGGAATCACAAGCAACCACAACCTTGGGGAGTTTAATGAAGCTGTCCACCAGCCAGTTTTAGAGATTTTTCAGATTCACGTACAGCACAACACCACCACTCTATCCTACCCCACCTGCTCTTTGCAAATAAAAAATATTGACACTCTTCCGAGAGACCTCTTACTGTATGAAAACTAGTCTAAAGCCAGTAAGATTCTCCTTACTAGCCTCTGCCTCCCACCACTTCTGTACTGTAAGCCAGCTGAAGCGTTCAAGAGTCCTTAGGCAAAAGGAGAAAGTAGCACTCTTTTTAATCAATGAAGTGGGTAGTATAGTTGACCTCTAGCCCAGTCAGCTAACTCCGTCAATTACATCATGTCTGCATCAGTGCCAAAGAGTTATTTCCATCCCAGAATAAAACTTTGTATGATGATAATTTGCCAAGCACGGTATGACAGAAGTGTTATACTGCTGAGCGTGCATCACATCTCTTCATGGCAAAACCACACATGTAAATCTGCCTGTCTCTGAGGCAGCGGGGTACTGGACGCCAAATGTGTCTGATTTCTACCGGCATAACATTTGTAATTGTGAGGCATTACTATTAGCCAAGCCACTATATCACAAATAAAAACAAATAAAAACAACAACACCAACAACCACATCAACATATTGGGTAGTTATACATTGAGAGGCCATCATAGAAAAAAACAAAAACTTCCCACAACAACTTTACAGAGGCCTAGCCTCCCGATGTAATCCTTGAATAACCATTTTGGAGTTTCAGCTCTGACATTTTACCAGGTTCTTTGTGTTCTGGATATGTTTTATGACTCTGGAGCCCATGAGTCCCATTCAAACACTGCTGTAATATGTCACTGATGACCTGCAGAATTTAGATAGTAGCTGTATGAATGTGCTTATTCAAAAGTGCCTGAAAAATGCAAACTCATTTGACACTTCTAGTCAATTTCACCAACAAAAAAGTACATGAAAAGGCGTACTTTTTATTTTTGAAAAATAATGACATTTATTTAATTAAAACTGTATGCGATTTCTGTTTAATTAAAAAAAACAGATTCCAAAAAAAAAAAAAAAAGTGTGGATTCCATAATTAGACTTTTGTTTTAATATGTAAAAACCATCATCTGTATAAATAGATCTGTGTTTGTCACCTCTTAAATAATGTAGCTCGGCCTGTCAATGGCAGAGCGCTGTCAAAATAATTAGCTAATGCAAATGAGAGCTTACAACTTCAGGAAGCCACCTCTGCATAAGAATTGAACCTCTGTGTTTTGCATCTAGAGTTATAACAATAGCATGACATAGCAAATGATGGAGGGATGAGTGCTAGCTCCTATTGCAACATACCACATGTTTGTATTAGCATAGCTAATTATGCATAATTGAGTGCTTTCTACTATCCCATCTCCTGAGGCCTATGTCTAACTTCTGTTGTATTTATGCAAAAGTTACTTGGAGACAACACAATCCAATTACACATAGTGTACAGGGTGTGCATGACGCATAATTAGGATTTGATCACAGCTCCAAAAAATATCTTGATCTATAACACAGCCAACAGACCCCTGTCTTTGACTTTAACTTGTTTAAGTTCAAAAGATGTTACATGAGATAGAATAGTACTGAAAACTCTATATAATGAAATAAACATATGTCAAAGTATTTCCAAATTATTTCTAAAACGTTATCTGACACGATCTGAATTCTTGTTGTGGTAAATGGAACCTGCCCAGTACTCCAGGGATGGGGAGGCCAACAAAAACTCTGTGGTCAAATGCTGGACAGCTACATGACCTTCACTCCTTTAAGAACTGTTAAATTAAATAAAAACAGCTGCACAAGTGAAGTCCAAGAATGTGTCTCAGAATACAATAAAATAATCAAATTAGATTAAATAAATATTTCGAACCATTAAATCAAATATTGTGAAATGAACCGTCTTCATGTTTCAATACCAGATATTTGGAGCAAAGGTCTGACTGAGTCAGCAGACTTACCATTCTTTACACATAAGAATTCCTCAGTTCCTACTGAAACATATTCAAGGCTAGTTCAAATACTTGGATGCACTATATAAAGATGTGTTCAATCACTTTACAACACTAATGACAAAAAGGAAGGGGGGGGGAATCAGAAGCCACCACTTGCTTTCTGTGCTCTGTCATATCCAAAACACCTGATGAAATGAAAATAATAAAGCAGCAGTGCTGTATAACTGCTTTTAAAATCACATCATGTAAGTGTTTAATAAAAAAGGCTGCACATTAATTATTCTAAGCGCAGTGTTTGGTCTTTTTATTTGAGCAGTCTGCTGAAAATGTATCCTTTTGAGTAGTTGATAAACTCAATACATGCAGCAGAATAACTGTAGAGATATATATTTTTTCTTTTTGCTTCTATATATTTTACTACAGCTCCTGGTGCTGTACTAGTGAATGTACTAACTCACTCTCTATTTTCTGAACATACAAAGTGTCCTATCATGGTCTGCGTTGTAGCATTATTATTTGATACATTTTGAAAAAGGTCCGACTTCAGTCACTAAAGGCACAAACTTCAACATTTGCTGCGTAGTGTTACAATTCTTGGATGAAACTGGTGTAAGACGTATACGTAATGCAAAGATCCCTCACACACAGACACCGACACAGACTTACAAACACGCTTGAACAGTAACAAAACTATCAAATTCCCATCCAGCCAAAACCCTGTTAAAAATAAAATAAGGCGGCTCTATGATCATTACGGCCTGACAATGCCAATTACCAATACAGTATCTCTATTTTGTCTGTAAAAGGCAATAGAAGGATTAACTTCAGGCCTCTCTGCTTCCCCTCTTTCCTCTCACAGAGCAGACTATGTTTACTGACTAATCTCCTTTCCTGCTTTGACCATAAATGTGATTACCACCACACAAGAGATAATAAAACCCCATATCTCTGCTGTACCAAAGAGTATGAATTAAAACCTAAGCTGTAGCCTTGAGGAATATAGAAAAGAAGGGGGGGGGGACACAGAAAAGGGAGTATTTGGTGATGAGTGCATACAGCCCCCTACTGGTAAACACCATTCACTATTTAGCCAAATACAACACAACAAGCTCCATGATCTTCTGTTGAATGCCAGCAACAGGTATGCAGCCACTTTCAAAACATATTTTCTTGTCCTACTGTTGCAAAGTCAGTCTTTTACGATCTCCATTTAAGCAGCTCTATTTAAATGATTTCAAATTTGGGTATAAATTACATACAGAGCTATCACATGAGAGTTGGGCTATTATAGTTGTGGTGGTAAATGGTTTATCTATCAACTTGTAACCTATGGCTGACATCACCTCTTTGAGGAGAGAAACACTTCTCTTTGATGGTCAAAAGGTGAAAACAGGTGAAAGGTAACTGCAGGTTTACACCAGTTTTAGTGTGAAATAAGTTTGTGTGCTATTATGAATGTCAATTTTGCCCCTAAAATGTTATATCTAAAAACACCTGAAACAAATAACCAGATGGTGGCATGTGGGATTTTTACCAATAGTTAAAGAGCAACATAATTGTTACTTTTGCACAGGTGGATCATTTTAGCTGTATTCTGGATTTTAAATCCAATGTTCGGTGTCTACTTAATGGAAGATAATGAATGAAATGCAGCTTGCTGTGATTCATCATTAAGCAATGTGGAAATTGAGTGGATCATACTGACCTTTATATAGTAAAATCATTTATACAGTTCCACTATACAACAGTGACATGTCTGAAATCTATCTAAACACTTACAACAATAAGCCCGAGAAAAATACAGACTGCACACAGATTCAAATTTCCACAAATGCTTTGACAAAGTCAATCTCATGACTCATACTTTTGATGAATGCCCAGCTTGACTCTATTAGGGATCCTCTAATAAAACGGGATGTTAGTAACAGTGCGAATCAAAGGCTCTGAGGGTTTGAGGAAGATCATAGTTCAGGTGGCGTGTGGCGATCATCATCAAAATCGTTTAATTTTGAGGGGGGGAGGACAAGACATGGCACGTGGTGATGGTGGAGGCGAAACGCAGTGATGATTTGTCAAATTCGCCTACCTGATATTTCCTGATGAGGTACATTGACGAGGCTGAATCCTTGAACGTTATAAGCTTGCCTAACCTCGCTACAGCTCCGCGCTTTGCTTTCACCAGCAGATGACAGGGACAGCAGCACCGACAGAGTACATAAGGCGACTTGCAGTCTCCACATCGCATACATCAGTGAAATCCTTGATAATGTTTCACAGGGAAATAACGACCTCCGTGGGGGGGAAAAACTAGATATCCAAAAGGGCTGAAGTGAGAGATTTCTCCGGTGAGCAGGATGTTAGATGTTCATTAAAACAAAAAATAAAAAATAAAAATAAAAATCACTCCTCACTTTAGATTCTGGTACGTCCGCCTCATTGCAAAAAGCTTCCTATCTTCCACCTCGAAAAAGAAAAAAGAAGAACCCGACGAGTCCCGATTGCTTCCAGCTTAAACAAATCCGTTGGAAGAAGACAGTTGCTACCTGGTGCTCTCTGTGCCAACAACTTCTCCCGCACACACAACCAGCACCTTGTGTTCAGTGTCAGTGTGAAGAAAAGCGAAATGCAACGGAGACACAAGCTGCACAGCGAGCAGAGCGCACAAGGGCAGGGCAAAACATGGAGTGGAGTGGCTGCGACTTCAGCTGCTCGCATCCAGGGGCGCGTACTGTCCTCTGCCTTTATGCATCCTTGGTAATGCGCACCGTAGCACATCAGTGGTGTAGACACATGTTGGAGGAGGCGCGGGGACCTGGAGGTAGTGTAGGCGGAATAAACCTACCTACACATCGACCAGGTCTTGTATTTTAACCGATCTGCGCTTTGTGTACAAACTGTGCATGCCTTTTGATGAAAGTAATAGAATAGAGGCTACAGATTGACCTAGAACAGCATCTTAGCAGATAAACATTTTTCACCCAGAGGCATTTTGGCGCACACACATAGATCATTTGATACGGAAAGTTGTCCTGAATCATGAGACTCATATGCGCTATTTTATCTCTGCCGATTATGTGCTACTTTGCCCATTTTGAATTTCAAATAGTCTTTTTTAGTTTCACATTTTTTTTAGGTCAGATCCCTTACAGATAGAGTGTTTAGTTGTGCTGTGTGAAATTACCTTCCTCCTTAGAGCCTCTTCTTACCTATTGTTGTCTAAATTACACAGCCTTTCATTGTATTCTTATATAAAAAAGAAAGAAAGAAAACATAAGGCTTTCAGTAGGGCAAAGCTGTTTGTGGGTCTTATATTTATTTAAATGATTCTACCACAGTTAATTCCAGGAGCCACAAATAATGCATTACCTATAGCACCACAGAACTGACACACTACAGTATAACATCAAAGTGTTTCATTATTAAAACAACGAGACAACATAAACATTTTTAACAACAAGTAACCTTCCTTATAACAATAATTCTTGTTATAACTAAGAAAATCTAACAAAAGAATCTTGTTATAACGGGGCGGATTTCCTATTAAAGGAATAAAATTAGAATACATCTTATAATATCCCACACAAAGATTTTGTGGTCTAGGGAGCTACAGCTGGCTTGTTAAAATCAACTTTAGAATGCACTGTAAAACTTCAATTAGACATTCAGGGTTGAAAATCAGATATGCAGTGTTGCCAATGCTAGACTGCAGAAATGCATGCATACATTTTAATTCCTTTAGGGCTAACACATTAGGAAGGTTTGCTCTTGTTGAGCAAGGTGAGATTCTCACCAGTACAGTGTGTGGACACAGTGAAGGAAAACAAGTGAATAAAAGGGATTAAAAAAGTCCTTCGGGATGACATACAACAGTCTGGGGTTGAACTGAGGAGCGTTTGGGCCACCAGACCATCCCACTATCTCACTATAGTAGAACATGTGTTTCAGTTTGTTGTCTAGTAGTGTGATATTTTACATCATGTGATGCCACCTAGGAAAACCGTTGAATGGTTTTGGCAAACACTGGTGAGGAAACACATGCATGAGTAATGTACTGTACAGTCTTGAAGAGTTCAAAAACAAATAAATACTTTTCTTAATTAACACTACTTGATTAAAACAGTTCAGAGTGCACAACATAAAAATATGATTTAGGATAATAAATAAAAACAGAGCTGTTTGCAAATGAATGGTTTAAATATTCACAGGACAGAGGTATAATATCACCTTACATAGCTATTTGGTTCAGTTGCAGTGAAGTGAACAGCAGGGAATGAACAGCCTGGGCGTCTGGCTGTCTGGGAGGGCTGATACTTTCAACAAAGGGGCAGACTGGACTTCCTACTACAGGTAAATAAGTGTCATCTTGCTTTGAATCTCTATGGGTCGGTTAGCGCCAGCATGGGCAAATTAATGGGCATGTGTCTGAACCACAGCTGTTGCTTAAAGCAGCAGATTGACTCAGTGTCCATGAGCACAACATATAGGCCTAATGCTACGCTGGAAAATAATTTAGAAAGATGTTTTGGATAATTAGCTTGAAACCAATTTACAAACTATTTGAAAAATAAATTCTTAACTACATAAGAAACAAGTTTAAAATGCAACAGTAAACTAGCTTGCCAACCCCCAATAAATCCAAACACAAAGCAGAAGTCCTTTAGCATTTTTTGGAGAAAAAGTCAAAGCTAAGTCAGTGCCCAAAACAGACACTTGTGCCAAAGAAGTTTCTTGGTGGTTTCATGGCGGTTGCAAAATATGAGATGCTGATTTGGTGAGAATGCACTGAATGTGTTACAGGTGCCACTGCTGTCACTCTGTGCATGCTTTTCACTCTCTGGATCTAATCTGGGTTTTAGGTGGAAGTAGATAGGCCACCATTACAGCGGTGGAACCTCACTTGTAAAATCTGTCTAACACTAATGTATTTCAAGGATTTTACTTTTTTGTGCTTTTGCAAAGAATTCTGCCCTTAGAACCTGTTATATGCTGAAAGGATAGTCATCCTTTGCCATTGAACTAAAGATTGTAATCTTTAAAACTTAAACTTTTCAATGACGTTTAGTCCAGTTTTAACAGAGGGCTTGACATCTTTTCTGTACTGTGCTATTACCATTTGCACCAACAAAAGAATGGAACAATTGTATTGTCATATACAGTCATACATAGTACAACGTATAGTAAAATAAACAGAAATTTTCTGCACCATCAATTTTACTTGTGTAAATCACCATTAAACTTTCATGTTGCATTTTGATCAAAGGGCTGACCAGGAACCACCAAAGGCAGAGTGATCTGGTTACACGAAGCCGATGATGAGCTGCCACCCTGCTGATCTCTTGCTATTTTGGTACTATGTTTCCTGGCCAAAATTCCACTTTTACAGTATCACCTGTTTCCGAATAGTATTAAATGATACATTAATTCAGATGACAATACAAGAAACCGTGTAGTTTGATGATTTAACTAGAAAGTAATTCCTGTTGGGTATAATTAGCTTCTCCACAAAGCACAAGACTAACTTCATCTGTCAGATGGGCATTTGCCAACAGTGAATAACCCAAACATCTCTGCGTTCACTGTCAGTGTAAATGTGTTCAGTTCTATAGTATCAGCCACCTGATTGATCAACACATGCATAAAGAAGCATACCCCATAAAAAGCTAGCCATATGAGCTCTACAAAGGACCATGATGGAGTGGCTAAGGATTTTCCCTAAGAACAGATACTTCTGTGATGCACACACAGGTTTGGGCTTTGGTAAGTTGATAATTCAAACGCAAATCACATGCTTAGTTGACCTTTTTCTGGTAAAATTTTAAGAAAGACATGCAGTAGTGTGTCATGCCAACAAACAATTGTCAGAAAACACCCTTGCATATAGGTCACATGATTTCTACCAAAAAGAATCACTTTAAGTGAGTTTTATAAAATCTTGTAATTTTACAAGAGTACCCACAGCATGTAAGGTAGACTTCTTCCTGACCCTGAAAAATACAAATTACAGTGGAAGACGGCCACAGCAGTCAGATCAGAAAATAGTGTTTCTCATGAAAGATAATAATCTTTGGGCAAGTGTTTTGGATTTATAGTGTCAAATTGAAAGCTCTTACAAGACACATGGAACTATATTGCACCTAAAGCAGTTTCTTAATCTGCTACGATTGTGACTGTCATCAATGTGGTTTTAATTGTGATAGCACTGTAACCATTGTTGAAAGATCAATATGAGGGCCAAAGCTGTGTTTTCTTTCTTTTTTCTGTCTTCATTTCTGTTGCAGCTCTCCCTCTCTCTCCCTGTCACAGAGAGCCGTCACTCTCTGATGGTTAAATATTTTACATCGTATTATCGCTGCATCTTTTAATTTGTGCTGTTTACTTGAGAGTTCATGTAGTGCCGTTGGTGGCAATGTGGGCATTTCTTTTGCAGAATGTGTTATGTTAAGTAGGTATAAAATATCTTTTTAAGATTACTGAATTAAAAATAAGTTTAAAGGTGTTTTTATCATCAAGATATCTCAGCACCTAGTTGCCCCAATCAGTAATGCAGAGTTTCCCATGTGGCCATTAAGTTTGACTGACTAGAAATACATGAAATTTAAATTCAAAGGACTATTATGACACATGACACAATGTTTGGAGAATGATATGAGATATATATATATATATATATATATATATATATATATATACAAGAACAAAAGATCTCTGTGGGCCTAAATAAGACTGAGGAAATTACTCCTCTGTGACAGATCTGGACATCATCTTGGTCCTGTTGAGGAAGACCGACTTAGTCATTTTTGTGATCTAAATGAAATGGAAAATGAAATTAATTTGGCTTCATATTATTCTTTTTATACAAAGCCTTTGTTTAATAAGATTAAGAAGGAAATCAGTCTTTGCCTATGGAGGATTGTGGAGTGCAGCAGAGACTGAAAATGAAACATTTGGTGATTATTTAGAGATGGCTCACAAACTTTTTTTTTTCTTTTGAACAATTGTGACTAAATTAATGTAATTTTTTACTCCATATGGGAAGTTACTGTATATTGTTTAACTTTTTTCTTTGTTAAGTTTACTTTAGATTTCAAGAAGCCAAGATCTTTAATTAATTAATTAATTAATTTATTTAATTTTATTTAATTCAATTAATTTAAATACAACAGAAGGGATTGAGTGGGTGGAGGGTGTGCTGCAGTCATTTTATGATGGCCATCATGTGTTGACCACACCATGAAAAATTCACGCAAATGAGATGATGATTGCCACACAAGACTTACTTCCTGTTTCCAGTAGGTGGCACTATGACTAGGATTGAGTATTGGCATGTAGATGTGTTCAGGGTGGTACACTGAAGTTATGACAAATTCCTGTTTCATGGCGAAACCTGATGCCAAGGCACGGACACACCGGACACACCACAAACAATAAGCACAACTTTTAAACGTGATGGTCTTTAGAATGCACAGACCAAATCTGAAGTTGATCCAATCAATTCGCAAGGAGGAGTTAAAAATTCAACACAAAAAACTCATCATAAAATGACCACTCAAAATGGCCAACTTCCTGCTGGGTTTGGGTCCAATATGAGATACTTTTAGCAGAAAAATAATAATTCCTTGCATTTCAACTGGGTCCTTGCAGTGATCGCTGCTTAGGCCCTAATTAGCAAAATGACAGCTTGTCCCCCCTGGAGGGACATTGAGCCACTGCAGGGGGGGGACCAGAGTCCAACTTTTAAGAGAGAGAAACAAGAGTTTCCTGATACTACACTGCTGACTTTTGGATCCTCTTTCTTTTGTTGCTTTCACTATGTTATTGATTTATTAGGGCCCGAGCAGCAACCGCTGCAAGGACCCTATTGAAACAGTCCAATGAATCGTATTTTTAGCGTGCCACACATGTCAGTCATGGCGAAAAATTATGTATTCTGTGGCAGCCACACATGGGCGTGGCAAAACGGCTTGACAGCACCCCCTAAAGAGTAGCATGAGTGGCACGTTCCACCGATAAAAACAGGTACACATGTAGATTATGTCCAGACATACAAAAAACCCTCTTGGACCCATTTGCCAAAACCAACAGGAAGTTGGCAATTTGCACATGTTGTATTTTAACAAATTCCTCCGAAGGAATTGACCAGCATCCCATTTCACAGAAATGTATGATGGTGCGGTTTTTGGTATTTCCAGGCAGTGTATTTTAACGAACTCTTTCCAGGGAATTATTCAGATCAACTTCAAAATTGATGAGTAAACTCAAAAAATCCTTGATGAAAAGTTAACGTTTCTGTGGCGTGGTGTTGAAAATCTGTGCTTTGCCAAGAAACAGGAAGTTGTTCCAACTTCTGTGTTCTCCAATCTGCACCAAACTTCACATGTTTTATAAGAGTCTCTGCACTGAACATATTATATAAATTATATATAATATTCCGTCATAGTCACAGTGCCCCCCATCAGAAACCGAACGTTGTCGTAACTATACATGTTCCAATCTAAATGAATAATTGTTGCTTTTACATTCATTTGTTACGCATCTATTTTTTTCACCAAGTTGTATATACATAATAATTGTAGGTTTATTTTAACCAATCTTTGTTCAGCTTTGTTTTCCTTGTTTTTAGCCATTTATATCTTCTTGAAAATTGTTCTTTGAATTGTGTTTAAGTACACTGAGAGTAACTTAAAATCAGAGTGAAATTGCTTGCATGTACACAAACTTTGCCAATAAAGCTGATTCTGATGATCAGTCCAAATTAGCCCACCCTGATTTTCTTTGATGGCATCCAAGGTGTTTTATCTCTGTTTCTGGGCTCTATTCAATTATCTATTCTATTCTATTTAGGAAGGCAATGCCAGTCAGGCATGAAAGTCCAAGATCAAATGTGTTTTCCCCATTCACCATTGGTTTCATCTGCACAGCACTGTAATAGCCCTACTCAGCTAATAAGCCCTTGCTAATGAGGCAGAGAGATGATGGCCAGAAGGTGATCCCGGTAGTGGATCGATAGCTCACCACGAGGAGTCAGCACAGGGTTCATCATGACTCATACTCAGTGCACCACAGGGAAAACTGAGCTTTCACTATCCGAGCCTGCTGCTTCACAAAACAGTGTTAATTGTCAGAAATTTAATTTCTCCTTTTCATGGGATATTAATGTTCCAAAGTTTTATTTTAACTTTGAATCCATAGAAAGACAGACAGAGAGATAGATAGCCCTAAAGATAGATCAACCAATCAATTAAAATCAATAGATGGTGGCTTGTGTGTAGATCCCCCAAGAAGACAAACAGCTGACTGTCGCCATTACCTTATACTGTGGTTGGATGGATGGATGGATGGATAAGGACATCTCACTGATGGAGCTCCATGGATCTCACAGGAGAATAACCATTTCAATCAAGCCCTTGAAGCAGTTAAAATCCAGAGATTATTAGGGATAGGATCAGAGGAAACGTATCATAAACTGTTCCCTGTTTTCCATCTTTAAAGATCATCTATGGCCAATTCTTCTAATTCTAATTTACATGTATAAAAAAACAGGTTGCATTAGAACTAAAAGCACAACTCACTGTGTTAAAATTAACAACTACCAGTGTTTGCTGTAGTGGCGCTTATGTGGCATGCGATGTCATAGCTTGTATGTGAGGCACACTGTTAGCAGCCCAAGAATAAGGTCACTTTGTTCACATTAGCACAGCAGGCAAGGAGATGAATAATTAATCATATACTTATAATTCATGGATGTTTAAGACAGATATGTGCAATTACTGTAAAGAGGTATAACTCTTATTTTCAGATAGAAGATGTTGGATTTTTGATGGACTGAAAATTAAAATATAGCAAATAAAGTAAGGGAGGGTTTAGAATACACATAGGATTTTTTTTTTTTTTTTTTTTTTTAAATCAAACACATTTAAACAAATGACATCCATTGACATTATCATCATACACCTTGCAAAGGGGTTAAAAAATATGTATATGTAATACCACAAATTGTATGTTCATGTGTGGGTGAGTGTAGAATCCCTTTGGTGTTATGCCCATTAAAAATATTTTATATTGGGACAGAAATGATCATCTATTCATCTATTTATTTTACTCCACTTATACAACTACATGTGGTAGCCCATGCGTCCTTTTTCCCTAGCCAATGTCCTCCAGCTTCTCAGGTGATATCGGCATTTCCAGACCTTGTAATCGGGGATATAGTATACCTCTGGCGTGTCCCAGGGCTTCCTTCCTGTTCATTATGCCTGGAATATCTCCACATGGAGGAGTCACTGAGACATCCTAATAATATGCCCAAATCATCTTAACAGAGTCTTTTTAAGCTGATGGAGCAGCAGTTCAGGCTGCTCATCTTATTTCTACAGTCAAACCAAGACACCCTGCCAGGAGAATTTTATCTTTTCAGGCACAGCCCAAAGTTGAAAAGCCACACTGAGACAGAAAACCATAGAATAAAACTGGCTAAAATGCCAGTTTATATTTGTAAACCATCCCAGCTTATACAATGGGCTTCATTTTGTAAGTGACTGGCCGCTATTCTTCTTTTGTTTAAGGGGATGCACCACAGAGTATAGCAGCAGAATATTCAAAAAGTAAACAATTTCCAATGGTATAATTCAAAGTTGGATCCCAGTTCAGGCCTGTCGGATTGAGCAATGAATGCCTGGTGAATTAAACGTAAATGGGGGAAAATGTGTAGTAAGAAAGTCATCAATTAGCATGATGTTTTGAAAATTATAAATATTGAAAAAATAGCAGTAAGCTATTGCCATAGTCATGGATGTATGTAATTGTTTTTTTCTTATTCTAAAATGGTGTTTACGTGAGCTAGTGTGTTCTATACCATTTCATGCCTTATTCCAAATGGTTGGTTTTTTAGATGCAGATTGTGGCAGAATTCACATTGTGAAAGTTTGACAAAGACTGTCCTCATTTACCAAAGCTCTGAAGCGTTAGGATGCAGTATTAATGCCAGGTACTAAATATATTGAAAATATTAGCAAGCTTAACAGAGCAGTCTACACTGAAGAATGAAAAGAGAATTGAATATATTCCAATAAGTCTGCACAGGCTAATGATTTCAGACGTAAAGACACACAATCAATAAACTGCATGCTGGCTCAAATGTTAAATCACAGTATGCCCATTCCTTAATCATTTTCACACAACATGGAAAAGGTCATGTCAGAGTAGAATCAATCCATTGGTGACAGGAATTATTTAGAATAAACAAGCAGACCAGGATCACCTACAAATTTCTTAGTGTTGTATTAGGCTTTGGTTTCAACCGACATTGAAATATAGAGCTCTAGAAAATGTAAGTATTCGCATAAAACTTCCTAATAAGCTAAGGTAGCATCTACGTACACAATTTGTTATTTTCCTTGCATTACATATGCTTTGTTTAACACTGTTATTCAAATCAGATGTGTCAGGTTAACATGCTGTGATGTCAGTGCAAGTTTGTTTCCTATCATCCTTAACAGAATACGCACTGATATCCATTTTAGCCTTGATAATTTATTCAAATTGTTTCCGTGTGAGCCATTTCTATGTATCATACATTATTAAAAATAGTTTCAGGTGGTTGTTTTCCAGGTATTAAAGTTGTTTTGAGCTAATTATTGATGTCCTAAGGCTTAGTAATTAGGGATCTGAATCTTATTGTAAGTAGGGTCTGATGAATTACAGAGAGTGGCTGAGGATGAAAAGTAATCATCCAAATTAGTGGCTCAATATATGAGCTAATGTTCTTTTGCCAAAGATATTAGATATTACACAGGATTTGTTGACAAGTGGAGCACATCTTACTTTTTACTCTATGATGGGCATTTTTGTGTAATGTGATTTGAAGCTCCTTAGATCCATATTAATTATTGTATTTTTAAAGATTTGACAAGGAAGAAAACTGTATAGAATAAAAAAAGAAAATAGAAATAGTTCTGCTGCATTGTCGTTCCTTGATCCATTTTGAATCATACCATGTTACAGGAGTGCAATGCTGACGGTCTTTTAACAACCATGACAAGCATTAAACATAAATGATACAAACTTATATATCATAGGATACAAAGGACTACAACTTTAAAGTAAAACGGCCTTCCAAAACTATTTGTTCATTTCTTTTATTATTTATTTCTTTATTACAAACTGCATCATGGTTGCAGAAAATCTTAACTTTTATCTGTGTGCATAAGACATGTTGTCACAAGTGTAGCCAACATAAAGGTTATGACGGCTGTTACATCAGTAATTTGAAAACTATGTTTACCTCCAGAACACCTTACCAGAACAATTACCATGGTAACCACTGAGCAGATGACAACATTTCCTCAGCAATGAGCCAATGGTAAGTAAAGTAATTTTCTGATACTGAAAATGATACTTTGTATAGGGCAAAGCTTTTTTCCACCTATATCTTAACACAACACTCAAATACCATATGCATGATGAAATATTTGTTGGTTGCTGTAATCATTCCTCCTGTCCATGCTGGCTGTGAAGCATTACCTTTGTAGAGTGACTACACAGTAAGAAAGCTGTTGTGGGAAAGGCTTATAAGAGGACTTATAATGAGTAGAATTTCATAATAATATAGTTTGATAGAGAAATACAACGAAAAGCAGGGCAGATGTTTCACAATACCACAGGGCTGTATTGGTGTGAAGCAACAACTGTTGCTCTACTTGAAGGCTCCTTGAATAATCACGAAAATTACACAATTAATCAATGCATCATCAGAAGCAACCCATTCAGCAGAATGATTCTACTCAAGTACAGTAGGTTGACAGTGGCTGTGACAGCAGTCTAAACCTATATTTTACCTAATATGCATCCTTTTGCTATCAGATACTTAATTCCTGTGGAGTTAAAAGATGGTATAAGTTCTGTCTTCACGGAGATGAGCCGCTGAGGTTTTTGAGCCTACATCTTGTGCTATGGATGAAAAATGGTGAGCTGGCTTCTAGTGTAGTCAAGTGCAGTAGAGTCAAAGCAATAACAATACTATTAAAAAGCTACATGCTAAACGTGTGGTAGACAAGCTTTTTCAAAAGCAAATACAAATACAAGCATTGCTTTTTTATTGCAGGTTGCCTGTTAAGAGTTGAACACAGACAATTTACTTGATTCTCCAACGCCTGATGTGAGCTTTATAGATGCCAGCCAACTCAGGATGGATGCTGTTTCAAAGACGACAGCTCATCAAGATGAGTGACAAGTGTTGGGTTTGGAATTTTGGCCAATTGAGGTGGAGGCATGCAAGACTAACAACATACTTCCTGCCTCAAGGCAAAAACCTGTAGGTTTAAGTTTGAAATGGCAATGCTTTTTGTCTGATCCAGAGATTTGGGTTTTTAATTAAAAAACAACAAGATTTTATTCAGTTGTGACAGTCTGCTCATTTTCACAAAACCACTTAAATCAGCCGATTAGATTTATCAAGGCAGTCAGTAAGACGATGATTTCAAACATGAGCACTCACACACACGCACACACAGTAGCACTTAGCAGGAACCCTATATAAGCTTGTGACCTTTACCTCTAAAGTACAGCATTAAAATTCATAGGCAAAGCAACAGTCTTTCTGCTGTTTATCTTTGTGACAGAAAGGCAGTTGTTTCATAACTGATTACTAGACATAAAGGCAGTATTCCTGACAACAAATGAGTACTATAGTGTGCATGAATATTAAGCGGCTATTATTGTTTTTTTTATATCAACAATAGATCACATGACACTAATCAGTAGGTGATTCATTGATTATTTTTTTTAGAAATTAGATAAACCCAAAGATATTATTTAATATTAGTTAGTAACAGTCATTATTATCAGCTCCATGTGGCTTATATATATCATCTTTTAGTTCATTGTTTTTGTTTTATGGTCCACAACTTCATTGTTTTGATTCACTCTCAGCAGAAGGCAGCTGTTTTCATAGCAATTGCATGCAGTGCAATGCAGCATATTATAGCAGTTGAAGAGAAAGATATCTCTTCAGATATTTAGTGGGGACCAAAACCAGAGCTAAAAGGAGACTGGATATTTGACAAATATGAATGCTAATGTTGCTCTGATGTGTAAATAAGTAAATATCAGCAAATAAGTTTGCCATATCAACTTTAAAAGATAACAATATGTCAGTGTTGTGTTTTAAAGCTTGTTTGTGCTGTCCCCAAGTGGCCCAAAAATCTGTTACTGTAGGTTGAAATAAGTCTAAACCAATGTTAAACTTATTTTCGTCCACCTTACTAGGCCATTGCCCATCAGAACTGTGCTGAAAAATGCTTGTTTGACCTTTGAAACTTAAATTTATCTTAAATCTATTTGTATTTTTTCCTTCCAGCATCATTTTATATAATACGTAGTTCAGCTACAGCAATTTGTATGTACCAATAACACATAAACATGAATAAACCCATTTGTTCCTGTTAACTTGTCACACAGACAAATGAATGTACACAAAAATGGCAGGTTTTATGGACTCAGGGTGTATTCTTGCGCAGTGTAAATGTACATAACTGTGACAGAGCTTAACTGCAGTTATTCATCATGAAATGATTTTCTGTCCATACATTTATTTATGTGTTGGTGTTTTAATAATGGATGAAGAGAAATGCGTCGGGTTGAGATATGGTCCTAGGTGCCAAATCTTTAAACCGCAGTTCATACACTTTGGCCTTTACTGAGATCCTGAGTTAAGACAGGGAAGACTACTAAAGCTACATTTGTTGTGCACAACCCACTCTGTCCTGGAGTTGCAGGAGAAGATGCACAGCCTCCTGCAAGATGTAATTCATATTCATCACCTCAACTTAAGATGATTATGATAACTCGGATTTACGTCCACAAGACTCCGATCATTAATGCTTGGGGGTGACATTGATCAAAGCTACAATCTCAGAATGAAGTGATAACTTGGTGAACTTTATCTGCATGGAAATAAATGACTCAGGTGTGGAAGTATCTTTAGGGACGCTCTGCATAACCAGGTTTGAAGGCACCTGAGGGTGGTGAAACTTCACTTAGAGGAAGCAACAGGGTGGGCTAAAGCAGAGTCTGTTATGTTCTATATATCTTCAAATAGAGCTCTAGTGTGAAGATATAGTTTGGAAAGGTGTGAGGCAACCTCTGGTAATATGTTGCTTGGGGAATCCTATCCTTTTAATACATCTCCCAACATTAATGTAGTTGGTCTGTGAAGGTTTCTTGCCAAGATTGTGTCAGGTTCAGTTGATGCTTCTTCTGATACTTCCTATCTCCTGAGGATTTCAGACTGAACCAAATCCTGACCTTCATATTTCTCAGCTTCCTGTCTCACATTACGTGTTTACCTGTGACAACACATCAGTCATCACGTTTCCACCTTACCAACTCTGTTTTCTATTCTGGTGGCACATAGTACAAAACATATCTTTAACATAACTGTCATCTCTCAGGGGGCCTACTGGGCATTATGTATAACAAATTACTTTACTAAGGCAGCAGCTATTTCCAACATTGGTTAAAGGGTGCAGCTCGGATGTGGGATTTGCTCAGATATCGAAATATAGCAATGGTGAGGTATTCATTAATGAAGTAATGAGGCACCCAAATCTTTACTAAGGACTGTACTATATACTGTACCCTAGTAAGGAAACATTTAACATGGTCATGTGTGTTTCATTTATAGGGTACAAGCAACAGTACAATAACAGCAGTTAATTAATAATAGCAATGGAGTACCAATGATTCATTCATGGCCACTGTTACAACTGAACAGCTCTAATAATTCAGTATCAGTCTACATTTGTGTCTATGGATCAGGTTTTGTTCATCTTGAATCCTGTGTAAATACTCCCATGAGTTTCACATTTGTTTTTAGTTATATGCAACCTTTGATTGGATGATATTTGGTACAGAAATTCTCCCCCCTCAGTATATTGTCACAGCTTTGGTGGCTGTTTCCCAGGTCAAAAGTAAAAATTTGGTTTATGACCAAATACCTGCAAAAATTATGGCATTTCTGTCAGCCATAGCTGTACTTTGTGTTTAGTGCTACTTTACAAATGTTTGCAGCATGGACTGGGGCCAAAAAGTTACAACTGATAGTAAACATGGCAAACATTATACCTGCTTAACATATACATGTTGGCATTATCATTGTGAGCATATTAGCATGCTAAATTTATCATTTACCTCACAGCACCACTGTGCCTTAGTAGATACTGACACACAGAGCATCACATCCAAATGTTTTTGTATCTATTGTATCTGTTGATTCACAGGTTGAACAACTTTTAGACATCTAGGTGAAAGGTTTGGATGAATCTGTGCTATGGTGCTCCCCACTGTGCGTCAGATCCTCCTCCTTTGTTGTATGTTTGTGGCTGGAATGTCTAGGGAATCTACAGCCAATCAGACTATGCTTGGGATAGAGCAGAATGTTCTGCCAAGACTTCTGATTGCTTTAACAGTATTACACTGTTAAAACTGAATTTGAAAAATCTCATCTCGCAGGTTCCTTACAGCATCTGGATTGATGTTAAATGTACACCATTTTGGGTTATTGCCAGTGTACTGCAATGGATTTTATTTTATTTTAAAAAATTATTTTTGCCTTCCCTCTCTAGAGAGTATTATTATGCGTCTAATACTGTCTTTTTATAAGAAAGCTTTTCACTGCAATTAATGAAATACTGATGATGACAGCTGTGGTGAAATGTTACAGCTGTCTTTGTCATGACAAGTAGGGCTTTGTTTAAACTTCACCTCATCTTTTATTCTTCCAGTCAGACTTCATAGTCCTTTCATTTTACTCTTTTAGGCACTGTCACCATGTCCCTAACCATTCTAGGAAAGTCTTTGGAGCATCCTCCTAAGAATTTTCATCTTTCAGGTTTTTCTCCCTGCCCTTTAAGACTCTGATTTCTTGGCTCACTATTCCTTGCAATAAATAACTCTATTCCTTCCTCTTTACTTTGTCGTGGCCCTCACATGAAAAAAGACATAAATATGTAAAAAAAAATCACTACTGTATTGCTGAATATATACCTTATTCTTATTCTTCCCTTTTATATATATTTTTCCGACAAAAAACAAAACAAAAAACAACAAGGGCTTAAAGGGTTTCTTTTTGCTGTTTTTTTCTCTTTCTATCTGACTAAAACTTCTCTCCCACTAACAAAAACTATATTAAATTAATACAATTAATATGTACTCTACAGGAACAAATTGTGTGATCATGGCACTGTTAGAACAGTTTTGTTTTATCCAAATTATAAATCATTCTGTCACCACCTTCCAAAGAGGTTTTGCTGTGTTTTAAGGATGTCAAGCTACATTTGCCTTTAGTTCTGAGACACAACCGTCATTCATTTGGATGACCACATGAGGTTGCTTGTCAGGAAAAGACAAGGCTTAGGCTTCAACTAATGATTATATATATTTTTGTTTACTCTGCAGATTATTTTCTTGTTTGATTGATTAATTGTTTGGTCTATACCATGTCAAAAAAAAATAAAATAAATACCCATCACAATTTGTTGCTTCAACCAAGTTTAATACATAGTAGAGTTTTAGTGTTCTTCACTCTTTAACACTGTGTGGTTATGTATCAACATTTATATGCACTGTTTTTATACTTCTTTCATCTTATGTTCTATGTGCTATTTTTAGCGTCTGTCAATTTAGCAGCAAAACACATGTTTGCAAAGTTTCCCCACGTATTCAAGTATTGTAATACTCGCCTCTATGTATAAACCATAAAGAAATTAAATGCAGTGTTATTAAAGGTTACTGTGTTATATTCACTGTTCTGTTAAGGCAAAACAGTTACATAAGGTTGTTTTAAAAGGACCCAGTCCAGACTGTTTTTCCTCAGGTAGCTCCAGTCTTTGATGTCAACTGGTCATACCTTCATGTGTTTTATCAAAGCATTTTAGCAAGTGTTCTATTTTATACTGTTGTTTGTGGTGGTGCACCTTAAGCTCAGAGGACAGAAACAAGATCAATAAACTGACCAGGAAGGCAGGAACCATTACTGGCTTGACCCCATCACACTAGACATGGTCATGGTGAAAAGAATATAGTATGGGAAGCTCAAGAGTATTATGCAAAATTACGATCATCCAATGTACAATGTTTTTATCCAGCTGAAAACTATTTTAGCAACAGGCTTGTTACTCCCAGGTGAGAGAAATTTAGGAAGTCATTCGTACCTGCTGTAGTGAAGCTACAGTCACTGACATTAACTTTTATTGATGGCGATGATGATCTAATGTTGATGTTGATTGTTGTACTGAGGACTGTGGTAATGTTGGTGTGAATGAATATGTTGATGTCATATAACCGCTAATAATAGTACAGTTACATTGATTTTTACACTATTTATTATAGTGTATGGTATCTCTTTTTATTTTTTTAGATTATAAATTATAAAGAGTGTCCTGGTTAAGATTGGCAGCAATAACAGTGAGTTACAGACAAACAACATAATATAGACAACACAAAAATTGTTCAAATCAGAATCAGGACGTACGAATCAAACAAGTGGTTATAAATCTAGATATTCAGTGTGGCTTCAGAAAACTCAATTCATTGTCAATCATGCTCTACATAGACCAGTTGTTTGAACAAACAACCACGTTTTCCCTATTTGCTTATAGTGCTTTATAAGTCACTAAGGTCTGCATACAGCAGTGCACACACAAGATATTACCATGAGAATAGAGTCATTAAGGGTAAAACATGAATCTATGATTAACATATGAAACCAAAGATTTTGGCATTTCCTCTTCACTAGGGACAGTAGTAGCACGGTATAAAGTTTCAGTCACTTGCCCATCTCCAGTTCTTTATTTGGTCTCACCTGAAAGTGTTCATTCTTGTATCCCCTTTCCAGTGACAAGGTTGGCCTTTCTTACTCTGTGAAGCTTAGAATAAAAAACATTCATGCATTAGATCAGCTTCAGAACTCTAGAGATTTCGCTGACCTTTACAAATGCATCAGGGGAGGCAAGAACCCTGCCTTGAACTTCAAATGCATCATTTTGAGCTCTTAAAGATGCTTCGGCAGTTAAATAGGAGAATTGGTTCAGTAACCTGCAATGGAAATATATTGTAGCCTCACATGGTAACAACTAGTATAGCAAATGATTATTGATTTTTTTGTCCTAAATATCAGACATAAGCTATTTTTTTATTATTATCATAAACAGGAAACATCCTCTCTTTCAATGCAGACATCAAAATGCTAGTCTGTTTGTAAAATTGCGAAAAGGTTATTCTTTGCTTTGTAAAACAAAAGAAAAATAAGAACAACCTTGTCAATTGTAAAGTCTGTTCCGGCACAGAAATCCTTCCACTACAATTACAGAACAATGAATCTCCTTTAGCAGCGGTGCCAAGCAGTAGTAATTTTATGACAAAATACCTCCAAATTAGACTTAAAAGGACAAGAATGCCTCCAAAAACAGCTACAGGCACTACACAGCCTGCTGTGGCATGCTGTTTGAATACCCCGACCTTTCACAGCAAAGCACACATGAGGTAATTGAGTTATCCTTGTTTGCAGCTACACATGATAGAAGGTGCGATTGTCTACTTTGGACATGTAATAGCAAAAGTATAACAAGGAGCATAATAAATTGCTTGGTCTAAGGGAACTCTCATTAAAGCAGTATTATTATGGGTCAACTGTGAAGTTTAGCTTTCAGGGAATCTGCATTGGGTAATATAAGGCAACTTCTGCTGAAGAAGCTAAGCTGAAGGACAAAATTGTGTTGTGTTTACACTGACGTTAAAAGGACAAAGTTTTACAGCAATCCATAGAGGTATTTTTAAGCAACTAATTCCAAAACTACAACTTAATATCACTTCATAGATTAAAAAAAATACTGTTTATATTTCTATTTTTAAGCAAAACAATGCTGCAAAAAATACATAAATTACCTACATCACTGCTGCACAACATCCCCGGTGTCCAGTGAGATATGTAAACATGTTGGAAAACTGAGGAGGTGGATTAAATTTGTTCTGTCTCTGCCAAGACAATTATCTCCCCCTCTGCTAAAGATATCACAAGGCAGTGACTACTTTAAAAAAAAACAACTAATGGTACAAAATAAGACAAAGCTTGCTGGAAAAAGTCCTAAGTGTATTTCTATTACTCAGGATTGTGTTACAGGACCTTAATAGAGGACAACAGACTCATTAATCTACGGGGCCATCAACAGGAAGCATCATTCACTGGCCAGCTAATCCAGTTTCTTTGGTGCTTAATGTTCTGTATGTCACCATAGTTATCAGTGGACACCATCTAGTCTACACTGGGCAAACGCACATAATAACAGTGCTGCAAACAGAAACAAAGTTACTCTAATGCTTTTATTGCTGTGGTAAACACAGGGAGTGTTGAGCTTTTGGTTTCACAACTTGCTAGCACTGCTTACACAAAGATCGCAAATGGTGGCAGCACAGCGTTTCAAAAATGATTCTTGCTTGGAAATTGCAGAGAATTTAGCATGTTATACATGGTGAATGCACATGTCACAAGTATGCCATTTGAAACATGTCAAAATTAAGAAATGATCTAGTTATAAGTCTATTTAAAAACTCAGAGTTTAAATGAGCACCAATAACCCTTCAGTAATTCTAGTACATCATGGCATTCCGTGGCTGGTTCCCACCTAAAATGGCATTCATAGTATTTTTATCAAAAGTTTTATGCTAGTACAGGAAAGTCATGTAACAGTGAGTGCTGTGTCAACAGAAAAGTAAGTCAGTGTTTATTTAAAAGAATCTGTTTCATCAACTGTTATATACAGTACATTGTCTCTTCATCTACACCAACAGCCAAGAGGAAATCTTCTTTTGACTCAAATCGTTTGGTGTTTCAGTTCAGGTTTTGAAAGTCTACCTTGTGACAACAATAGAGTTAATGTTTCATCACAGCTTGAAAGTCATGATGAAACATTTTCTTTTATGGGTCGGGAAAACATACATGGAACACTCCATGATCACAGATCTCTGCCAGTGGTAAACCCTTTAAAGCAGCCCAAGAAAGTAGCTATACTCCTAGTGGAGTGTGCTACAAGATTATCAGGGACAGGAAGGTCAGAAATCGTATTGACTATCCAATGTGATAGACATTGTTTAGACACAGAAAGCCACAACTTCTTCCCCCCATAAGACAAAAACAGTTCTGAATGTGATCTTCTCAGGGACACTTAAGTACCTTAAGATGCACTTAATGGACACAATGTCTGTAGGTCTATTTCCCACGAAGCAGCATTTGGATGAAATTTGTTGATCTCAATTACTTGGTTTACTGTCTGGGGATTGATTATCTTACGTAGTGACATACCAGTGTTATCAGCCTGCCACCTCAAACACTATTACAAACAGAATGCATGCAATTCACTGACTCTTTTGGGTGAGCATATAGCCAAGAGAAACATAGTCTTGTGAGAGAGAGACTTAAGGTCTGCCTGCTTAATAGGCTCGTAAGGAGATTGTGTCACTGACCTCAGCACCAGGGAGAGATCTCATGATTGAGCTCTCAGGGTCCTACCTGGCCGAAGTTTGAATGCACACTTAATGAACTAAGACACCAAGGGATGTCAACTGACCCCAACTGACACTTCTCCTACTGTCTCATGGAAAAAAGAGATGGTAACTGCATAAACCTTAATAGTGCTTGATGCTCTTCCCAAGTCCAGAAGTGACTTAAGGAAACACAAAACCATGTGGACTAAGCATGCCCCACGTCTAGTTACTCCGACACCACTCAGAGAACACCTGCCAGTTTTGATTGTAGCTTACTCGTGTGGAAGGAGCTCTAGCATTGTTTATGGTATGCATGAGTTGTCTAACTCTGGAGACAGGGGCTGCAAAGGTTGGCATCCTGGACAAGAAATCTGCTGCCTGGTTCTCCACGCACAGAAAACCTACACTGCTCTGAGGAACACGAGTCGGGGAAAGGCCCACGGCAAAAGAAATGTGGCCACCTGAAGGCAGTGAAGGGATCTGGTGCCTCCCTGGTGTTTTTTGTTGTATAGTGTGGTATTGTACGTTCTCACTAGGACATGCCTGCCTGAGATGAAGGTAAGAGGAGCCACCAGGGCCAGGTGGACTGCCCTTAACTCTAACACACTGATGTGCTAGCCCTTCCACAGGGGCTTCCACACACACCTCACCATCCGTCCTTCTAAGACACTACTGTCCTACGTGATAGAATGTTCCCTAGAGGGACTCCATGAGATAGAAGGGACTTGTTTTCCCAAGGTTGCAGTGCCATTATACATGACCATGTTACCTGGAGCTTCACCTATCTGTCTCACTTCGGGTTGAGGCTGAAGGACTTTAGCCACCTCTGCAGTGGACGAGCCCTGAGCAGATTCAGAGGGACCACTGTCACTGCTGCTGAAATCATACCCAACAACCCCTAAAATTGGGAAAAAAGCAGCTGTTCTCAGGAGGTTGACCAACTTCATAATCTTCTGTGGGGTGACGGAGGCTATCATTGTGAGAGAGTTAAGCATAGACCCACAAACACTGTATGTTATCTTGGCTCGAAATTGCTCTTTTTCATATTTACCTTGAACCCTAAGGCTTCTATGACCCTCTTTGTGTCCTGCACCAACTGATGGTTGGCACGCAGATCAGTCCAGATAAGGAAGGGTGTTCAGGCCACAAGGAAGGGGGGGCAGGGCAGATCAAAGATGTTCAGTTGCCTTCAGTCTAAGAGGGGGCGCAGTCCCCCATCCTTTTTGGGAATAATGAAGTA